TGTTCTTTTTTTTTTTCTTCATTGTGTTCTCGTAAGAACTACTGATAAGGGGTCAAATTGACAGTAGCACCTAAAGAGATTAGATGGGGGCCTTAGGGGACGCTGATGCTAATGGGAGAGAGATGCCTCCGCACAGGAGGATGAAAATGGTTGCAGGACATGAAGACCGTCCACTGTGCCTGACTTGTGGAGAGAGCAGTGTATTGCTGTGTGTGTTCTCCATTATAGCAAGAAAACAAGTTTGGAAAGAGGAAAGAAAACCCTGGGAGCATTGTGGAAGCAAGGAGCCTGTTAGAAGGTTCTTAAAGTCCTTTGGCTAGAAGTGAGGGTGATTTGGATAAACATAGCAGTTGACATGTTAAAAAGTCGGTAGACATCTTTCGCAGAATCGACTTCAGATGAAGGGCCAAGGAGAGGAGACAAGATGATTGGTCTGAAGTCATGGGAGAATATACCCTGCTCTCCACGGAGACAGACAGAAGACTAGGAGACCATTTCTGGGATGGAGAGAGAAGAGAAAGAGCATTATCCAGATGTAAATTTTAGACATGTGACGTGTGAGGTGACTTCAGTCATTAGGTAGAAATGAGAACAGAAGTCCAGGATGGAGACGAAAACATAGACTCTATGGGCATGTGAATATTTAAATCTAAGAGAAGAGATGCGATCACCAGGGTAGTAAGATAGAGTCTAAGAAAGCATCCAAGGACTGAGCCCTGAGTGGCACCAGGGTTGGTTAGGTGCCCAGATTAAGAAAGAAGCCAGTGGAGAAAGAAAGCTTCTCCAAAGGAAGGGACACGGGACGTGAGAGAAAGCATGTTAAAGAGAAGAGGGTCTTCAACGCGAAGTCTTGCTAAGAGCAAGTACTTGCATTTTGAGAAGTAACTGCTGATGGAATCGTGTGATGGCCACTGGTCACTCTGATGGGAATCAGTCCGGTGGAGCGAGACACAGGGAAAGGATTAGAAGACTTCCAGTGGGATTCGAACCTGCGATCAACTCTCCTAAGCACTGTTGTTGTCAAAGGGACGAGCAAGATAGCATGGCTGTCGGCCAGGCCACCACCGCGAGCTTCTGCAGCAGGGTTGTCTTCTGGTTCCTGACAGTCACGTACATGAGTCAGCAACCTCAAGGGACCTTGCCACAACTAGACACAGCTTTTTGACCGGGTTGTTGATTTGTTGTTGATACATTAGCACCAAAAAGAGGAAGCTTCATCACTCCAGCTCTCTTCACCTAGACGTATTCTTGCCTTCTCAACCCTGTACTTCCAATGTTTCCTCTAGATTTTTATTTGAAAGTTATTTTTTAGCTTTATTGCCTATAAATCCTTGTACATTCGAATGAGCTATTTGCATGTCAGTCTCCTATCATAGACTGAATTTCCTGAGAAAAACTAATTTGTTTTTTCTTAGCTTAGGCAACTCTTGGCCCAACTCTTGGCACATGGTAGATGTTCTATAAATATGTTTGGGGGTGTTTGGGGTTTTTTTTAAGAATGAATAAATGCCCTATTATGTTCCATTTGGGAAGATGATGTATATGACATAAAGGTCAGTGCCTTCTTAAACTGGATGTGAATTTCTAAATAGAGGGTTATATTTGGTCATTTCCCCCTAAGGATTCCTGTGGAGCAGGCGTGGTGAGGACAGACTCACTGCCTCTAAGCAGCAAGTCCCTGGGGAGCTCGTCTTTGAGAAGGACAAAGCGAAAAGCGCCATCACCGCCCTCCAACGTGCCCTTGCCTCAAAGTGATGAGAATAGCCACATGACAGGTAATGGTCCTTTTTCTGTTAACATTCACTGCAGATTGTGTTTTATGAAATATAGACAGTAAACATTA